TCCCCACCTATTGTTTCTGGTTTATTCTTTAAAAAATTAAAGAGAAAAAGGGAAAGAAAAAAAGGTCACTCCAACGAAGATATCCTATCTGAACAGACACATTGGTCTGAAAAGAACACAAGCAATCTGTAGAGAGGCAACCGTGATGCATCTAAACCCTAAGAGGTTAGTTTTCTAAAGAGTCACTCGTGTGTGTGTGTGTGTGTGTGTGTGTACGTGCCAACTAGAAATGAGAGCCAAGGAAGGTGCTGTGGAGGTTCCATGTTGAATCAAGCAAGGTTCTGCCCCCTACAAGCTCACAGCTGATCCTGGTATTATAAAAATCTAGAAGCAAGACCATGGAGCATTCAGTAAAGAGGGTGCTTGCCTGAAGGAGTGTTTCTGAAGAAAGTGGCATAGAAAGTGGGTCTTAAAGGAAGGATGGAAGGTGGAGAAGTCAAGTGGAAAATTGAGAGAAGCTTAATGATTTGCTGGCCACTCCATCTGCCCCCTACGTGTCCAACACTGGAAGAATCTAGTAAGAGACCTCAGAGGCCAGAGCCTGTCATTCTTCACCAGGACTGCATACCACGACCACTAGGAACCCTTGTTTACAGAACATATGCACCAAGCTCCAGCAAGACATAAGGAATCAGAACTTCAGGACTGGGGCTTGATCATATGTTCTTGGGATAGACCCAGAGAAATTTCTGGTAAGTAGTCATTTTTGACTTCTCCAAGAATCAACAGACTAACACCAATATCTTAATTTTCAAAGTGTGGTAAATGAAATTTAGAGAGGGCATTCCTTACTTATTCAGCCTTCTAGTGTTATTTAGTATGCACCGACCCCAGAATACAATAGTACATAAAACAGAAATGCCTGCCCTCACTGTACTTCTATAAAAATCATTTTAAGTTTATTATTCTTCCATCCATGAGAAAGAGTGAGAGTGAGAGACAAAAAGGCAGCACCCCAATGGGGTCTTGACAGTACTCTCCACCTCCACCCCAGGCAGCTCTAGGCTACAAGCACACATGTGCCCAGTGCATTTAGGGAGGGCTCAGTATACAAAGCTAGAACTTTACTATGATGGTCTGCCTTGCAGAACACTGTGCTTCACTGTCCAGCCCCTCATTACACGTTCATGAAGCAGCATTCATTTTACCACAGCTCTCTAAGGGTCTCCCGGTTCCCCAGCCCTGCACTTCCACCTGATAATGAGGGCGCATACAGAAGGGCTTCTGCCCTTAGAGTGGGAACAAAGCTGGGAGATACAGAGGCAATGGAAGAGAGCTCCATGCCAGACTGCCACTGAAAAGATTCCAGAACATTTTATGAGCAGAGCCTAACCAGAGTGCTAGCAGCTCTCAAGAGGAGTGCTCCTCTGGATCAGTTCTCCCAGACAGGCACAACCGCTCCACCCTTAATGAAATGAGCTGGGAGGTGGTCTATGCAGTCTCTCTGGGGGGCTCAGTAAGGTCCAAGTTAGAGGCTAAAGCAAGCCTTGATGTCTGTCTAACTCCTGAGAGTGAGAGAGGGAGAAAATTCTGCTGATCGTCAGCAACGACAGTAAGACAGAAGGGAAATCCTTCCAGAATTAGAAACCATTCCTGAAGACCAGCAAATGGAATGATACTTAGGTCGCTGGACTCCCACATGGTCGACCACGACCCGGAAGCTTAAAACTCACACTGGGCACATGTGTGTGTGCCTAAGAGCCCAAGAGGAAAATGGAGAAGGGAATACAGTGTGGCCATCCCCCTTGGGAGGTGATTTCTTGCTTTCTGTCTCTGTCTTTTTTTTGTCTCTCCAGCAAATGCACAAAATCTCTCTAAAAAAGAAACCATTTCTGGTAGCTGCAAGGAAGCCATTGTATCTTCTTTGGTAAAAGAAGCTAAACTTAAAGGAGGGTACCTCTGAGCCCTAAGGTGGAGCCCTGTCTAGCCAGGTGACACAGGCAAGTTACATCAGCACAGCTCACCTAGCGGTGACTTTCCAAGATTTCTGTGTGGATTTAATAAAACAGCTTTGAAAACACTTCATGTCTTACCTGGCCCCCGACACGTGCTCTACAAGTGGCTGATGCATCTGAATTTTAGTGTAGGTTTCTTAGTGTAGGTTCTGAAAAACAGACAAGGCCCCTTTGAGGTTAGCTGTCAGATGAACCTGTCACTCTCTCTTCCCAACCCCCAATGTTTATTTTACCAAGAGCAAGCAGAAAAAACTGAAATAGCATCTTAAGGTCAAGGTTCATGAGGCAGACGGAGCCCAGTGGCCTCTGGAAGCTCCCCTCATTATTCATGTCTCTCCTTTACATCAGCTGGAAGCCAAAGGAGTAGACTATCCTCAAAGACAGGAAAAAAATCCATCATGAGCTTCTGATACCCAAACAACAAAGAAACCCAAATGGCTGAAATTCAAGAGATGAGAGCAAAAAATATTCCCAATAAATATTCTTAGTTTTGGACACAAAAGTAAGAAAGGCTTTCATTATAGAAGGTAAAACTAATGTAAGTATTCAACTGCAGTTAGTTTCTTAAGGAAGGTACCAAGGAAACAGTTAAAAGATCTTGTTTACAGTTGTTTATAGGTAAATCTTAGTAATCACTAATTAATACTATCCTAAATAAAATGCTTAGTTGACATAGAAGATAATGACTGGAGGCCCAGCAGGTGGCATGATGGTTAAGGTACTGGACTTCCACATGGCCAACTGCAGTTCAAGTCCCAGACCTGGTGGCTTGAAAATCATGCAGGGGTATGTACATGCATGCCCAAAATCCCAGGAGGAAGTGGTTAAGATGGGATTGTGGCATGGCCATCCCCTCCATCATTTCTCACTTTCCCTGAGTCTCTCCCCTCTCCAGCAAGTGCACATGCCCTATGACAAAACCTAAATAAACAAACAAACAGTGACTGACTGGATTAGAGAGAGACTCTGGCCTATTACACATCTTGCCTTCGACACCATAAAGCCTAGCTCTGCCTATCAGGCAGCTGTCCACTTGACAGGCCATGGACTTGAGGGTAAAAGAATAGACTCAGGGAGCTAATCTTGCAAACTCATTATGATGCTATGAGGGTCATAACGTTGTATTACTGCACTTGCTCATTTCAGAATGGCTTCTCAAGTCTATCATTTTTTTTTTTTTGAGAGGTTTTCACTATAGGGCGCATGCGCTCGCCAGACAGAGAGAGACAGAGAGACAGAAAGCGAGAAATCACCCCACAGGGGGGATGGTCACGCCGCAATCCCTTCTCCTCCATTCGCCTCTCAGGATCCTGGGCACGCACGTACATGCGCCCGGCGTGAGTTTTAAGCCACCGGTTCCGGGACGCGAACCACGGTCAACTACATGGGAGTCCAGCGACATAGCCATTACACTAACTGCTGGTTCCCAAGTCTATCATTTTTAAAACACAGAAACAAGGCAAGCTGATAGCGGGGTGGTTCAGGGGGCTGGACTCCACATGGCCTACTGTGCAGTTCAAATCCTGGATTCACGCGGTTTGAAAAATACATTGGATGCACATATGTATGTGCCCAAAATCCCGAGAGGAGAATGGAGGAGAAGGGCTTGTGGCATGGCCATCCCCCCATCCCTAGGGGAGTGCTATCTCATTTTCTCTGTCTCTGTCTCTTTCCAGAGAGCACACATGCCCTATAACAGTGTTTTTTAAAAATGGAAACAAAGCAGTTGCATGAACCAGCGAACTGGGAGTAGATTGAGCAAATGAATAAAGTACACCTTAGGGAAATTATAGGCCCAAGAAGAGACAAAGGAAAGGCCTCCACCGCACAGTGAGGCCGCTGTAGTCTAAGTGGTCCCTACAGGACTTCTGGGGAAAGTGATGTAGGAGCGGAGACTTGACAAAGGTACTTGCACAATGGGCCAAAGTCATCTCAAGCTTACTTGAGGTTGTCATATTAACATTCAGAGAACTTAAAACAGTGCGTGAAAAAATGAAATTAAAGTATGATTTTGCTTTGGTGCAAAAAGATTTCTAAATCCACACACAGTTTTTCCACAACACATATTTCATTTCCCATCAATTTTTTGAAGATCCCCTTGTACTTCTCCAACAGCTACCTAGACAGAGCCAGACTTCAAAGGCATCTGAAAACTCAGCGTACTGGGAGTTTGAGGTTGTCCAGACCTTTGCTCTGCAGATCATGCTCAGAGCCTGTCACCCACATACATCCTAAGCCTCTAGCAGAGTAGTCCCTCCCTAAACACTGTTTTTCTTTAAGTAATTGGATACATGCCTGTGGATAAGAGAATGCTTTCCCTCTAAGAACCAGCCTGGACCAGTGGGATCCAAGATGGCCACCATAATGACATCTGGAAGACCCCAAACCTCATCAGAATATCACTTAACATGCTAAATGGCACGCCCACACTGCATGACAATTGATTATCACCAAGGAAATGACTGAAAATGCCCTTACAAGTAGGAAAAAAAAGACCAACTTCGGAATTTTCCACCTTTTCCAGGAAAAGCTCTAAATATTCCTTCCCTCTATGACCCTATCCATACCTTCATTATCCCATTTGCTGTATCTTAAACTCCAGCTCCTGCTTCTTCAATTCGTTGGCCTTGGAACAAAGTTTGCGTCCTGACACTCAGTTTTGATTTTGTTAAGTTGGCTCTGTGATACCAAAGAGCAAAAGGTCCTACCTTTAGGAATGAGTTAAAATTTAGTAACAAGTCCAGGGCAGTGCAGGTAAGGTCCCTGCTCATCCAGGGAGGCAGAGCCAGAAACCAGGGTCTCTCACTAGCATCCTCTGCTTTTTCTGCTCCAAGCTGTCATCTCCCACCTGAGAGCTTAAGCTCTCAGGGACTGCTCAGAGCCATGGCCCTGCCCTGTGGAAGCTCAGGATGAAAAGAAGCACACCATGGCAGCCAGGTTTCAGGAGAAGCCTGGAAGTTCTTCAGCCAACATTTCTAGACCCTTCCCTACCAGACCTTTAACAAAAATGATCACTCTCTTATATGTCAATATTCTTCCTGACTCTTACAGCCAGAGAAACTTAGAGGTAAAGAAGTCAGAAGCCAAGTATCAGAAAGAGACTGGGGTTTAAATCCAACTGTGTGACCTTGGCATCAATTGACCAATAAAGTCAACAAAATGTAACCCAAAAGCAGAGGGAACCTATTGAGTACGGCTTATCAAAAACAAATCCATCAACAGATGAACGGAGGGATCAGTAAGTGGTATCATGGTTAAGGTGCTGGACTCCCACATAGCTAATTGCAGTTTGAGTCCCAGACCTGGAGGCATGCCCAAAAACCCCAGGAGAATAGAGAAGGGATTGCAGCATGGCCATCCTCCCTGGGAGATGATTTCTCAGTCTCTCTCTGTGTCTCTGGCGAGTGCACATGCCCTATAGCAAAAATCTTTAAAAAAATAATAAATAAAAAGCAGATGAATTGATAAATCAGTGTGCTGTGTGGCATACACACACACACATACATGGAAAGTATTAGTCAACCTTGATGAGAACGAAACTCTCGCCACAACCTACCACACAGGAGCGCTTTGAAGACATTACATCAAGTGAAAAAGCCAGTCACAAAAGGACAAACACCATATGATTCCACTCACGTGAAGGACCTAGAATAGTAAAATCCAGAGAATGGCGGCTGTCATGGTCTGGGAAAGAATAGGGAGTTGCTCCTTGATGGGTACAGAGTTCGCGTTTTGCAAGACAGGCTGCTCAACAACGCGAATCCCCATGTGAAAGCACTTTACGGAGTGCTTAAAAATGACTAAGACAGTCAGTCAAGTGCTATATAGATTTTACAATTAAATTCTTTTAAATGTTTAAATTGTTTTAAACAATAAAATGCTGTCTAAGCCCAAGACCTTCACTGATATCCACTGTGCAACAAGGAACAAGCCCAGCAGTACACTGGCTGTTTTCCCACTCCCCCCCACACACCACACAAACACCCGCAATCTGCTGGCTATTCACACACGAACACACACATACACAAACACACACACTTTGCCTGCATTCCACAGGACCTGACATGTGATTTAGCTAAGAGAATGTACACAGTCTACACATAGGAGCTGGCACACAACAGGCTGTTCAAGTGAAGGTGTATTTCCCTTTCTGTCTTCATGTGCACAGTAAGACCTGCAGCAGCTGTCCGGAGCAGCGAGGTACCTGGGGGCAAACCTAGCAGCTGGGAACTCATCCCAGTTCAGAACTGGTAAGAGAAGACTGAGGCCCATCCCCTCATCTCCCTGGTTCTCAGCATCTTGAGCTGTGACGTGAAGTGGCAGAATCATCCAGCCTCTAGACAGAACCATTTTGGGGATAAATGTGTGTCAAGTGCTTAGGAAAGTGCTTGGCAGCACACATTAACATGACCTCAGAGATATCACCAGGACACAACGGTGACAAATCACACACTGATTACCAGGCCACTGGCCTGACTCTCCTGGGCCAGCCCTGCACTCCACCTGCCCACTATACCTGGGAGCAGGAGCCTAGGTGTTTAGGGGGTCTATCCACCTGAGGCCTCTCTGCAGGCCTGCTGCATGGCCACTATGGGCACCACTCATACATGCACACTCTCGGCAAAGTCCCTGAAATGTGAGGTCAGCCCTTCTTGATACGGTGCAGCACTTCCATCCCAGAATCTCAGGGTGGGCAAGGCTCCAAAGCCTCTTTCCTTAGCGTGTGCTCAGAAGCAGCATGGCCCAGGCAGCCTTTGCTGCGGTACCTTCCCTGCCTCCCTCTTTTCTTCCACCCTTCTTATTCCCATCTGTGCAGCGAGGAAAAGGTCAGTAAGCATAGCCCCATCTTGGTATTCTCACCAAGCTCTATATTAAAGAGAAACTGACATCTGTAAAGGGATAACAGCTAACTCCTTTCTCCCTCCGTTAACCTGGTGGCCGAGTGCAGCCAGCACATGGGCAGAGAAAGCCACCTCCACCGACACTCTGCAACAGTACCAACCCTGCCATGCTTGCTGTTCCTCCCCTCCCATCCTGTCCCTCCCCTCCCCTCCCCTCCCCACCCACCTACACACACACACATGCACACTTTAGCCTACATTTATCTGAAACAGCACGAGAAATCTGCAACAGCAAGTGGCAGCATGTT